TGTTCGTCGTCGCTACTGTCTTCATCGTTAGCGAAGGTATACGGCTTGTCCAAACCCTCCAAGGTGATTCGATCATCGCCCGAGCCGTCCACGGTCGGTCATGGCCATCCCGCACTTTTCGAAAAGACGGTATCGGTACGCCAGGTGGCTGTTGAGTCTTGCCATGGCCGCTCCCATCCACTGAGTGATCAGGACGCGCCGATCAGAAGCTGTCAACGACGCGGTTTCCCACCTCTCGAGGTTGTCCGACTGCTCGAGCCATATGTCCATCTGCCTCCCGACTTCCACCTTGAGAAATCGTCCGGCTCCTGCATCAACTGGCTGCACCTCGTCTGTGCACTCCGAAGGGCCATACCAGGCGAGAGTGTTGCAGTGCTTCGCAAGATATTCCTTGATTGAACTCGTCCGTGGTCTGCGCGTGCAAGTTGTCCATGATAAGAATGGACCTCGCCTTGGGAGCTCACCCCGCCCACGCATGACGCTTTTCTCGAGGGCACCCAGGGGCACGACGCGTGCGTACAGTGCCCACCCTCCCCCTCTAAAAAAATACAAATGTTGATATGTGTGTGTGTGTGTGTTTTTTTTTTTTTCTTNCCCCCTCTAAAAAATTACAAATATTGATATGTGGGGTATTCTTTTTTGGACTTCACTTCAAATCAGCGCTCACCACGGCACTATTAAATAGTGCCGTTTACTCCAACCCTTAGTCAGCCGTATGTATGTACCCCTCCCAGATCCAATACTCTCTACTCTGGGATCACTCCCCCCTCTTCCCTCCCTCCCCCTGCGAGTATTCTTATCTGGCAGTCGCTGCATTGCTGTCGTTCTTATTTGTAGCAGCAGTTTTGCACCTCAGGTGTGTTCTTGTTCCTATCAGGGCGTGCAGCTGAGCACGTTGTTNCCTCCACTTCTACTAGCTAGACGACCCAACCGGGGTCACATAGGAGGGGTATATACCCCTCCCAAATCCAATACTCTGTACTCTGANTATGTATGTACCCCTCCCAGATCCAATACTCTCTACTCTGGGATCACTCCCCCCTCTTCCCTCCCTCCCCCTGCGAGTATTCTTATCTGGCAGTCGCTGCATTGCTGTCGTTCTTATTTGTAGCAGCAGTTTTGCACCTCAGGTGTGTTCTTGTTCCTATCAGGGCGTGCAGCTGAGCACGTTGTTGTTTGTTGTTGTTGTTTCTCACATTAGCTCTGTAGTCCACAAAAAATGGGGAGCCCGTGGTCTCCAAACCCGGCACATACAACGCCGCGGGGAAACAAAACAAAGAGAATACGGAGGACGCTTTCCACACCCGCCCAAAGAAAAAATGAAAGGGTAACGTACCAGCACCAGGCACTACGCACCAGGGCATGGGAGTAACAGAGCATAGACTACAGGACAAAGAGGCGGCAGATGGGCAGATAGCCGGACATACAAAAACAAAGGCAACAGCAAAGCGAGATCAAGGTACCCAACACAGCAGAGTAGGCAGGGAGGTCATGAAAAATAGAAACACAGCACAGAGGCCGAACGCAATACAAAGGACATACATGAAGGAGTAGATAGCATACAGCAGGGAGGGAAACAGGGCGCGACGACATCAGCCGGGTACATAGTTCGCCACAAGTGCTGCCTCGGCCGCACTACTCGCTTCTACAGCAGTGCCCGGTCGCCGTTTCTTTCCTCCACCGCCGCTTTTCCCCAGTTCTCTTTCTCTCTCTTCGGTCCGTGTCCTTATCGGTAAACTGTTAAGTTTTGGATTTTCTTAGCATCAAATTCTTAAGTGCCATATTCTTAAGTGCGGGCCGGCACGGTATTTAGCAGGGCGGGGAAGAAGAGTGAAAGTGTTGTGGGGGGGTAATGAGCCGCGTGGTGTGACTCAATACCTTGCAGTAGTCTCATCTGCGATGCTGATGGTGCACGAATCCCGACATACGCCAGCGTGAATCGTTTGTGGTGCAGCCACGCGTGCACCACAGAGGGACAGCAGGCGTGTGACGGGAGCGACGATGATTGTACTCACGGGAATGTCTAGTATAGTATGTACTATTAGTACTGACCCGAGTATTGAGTAAGTATCTGGCTCTTTTCGCCCAGTAGAGTAATACTCACACTTTAGTACAGCTTTTCATACTCTACTAAGAATACTGTGGTGTCTAGTACAGCTCTTCGTACCAGCTAAACCTTTTGTAAGTACGGCTCTTCAATACTCTACTAAACATTTTTTGAGTCTTTTCATACTCTTTTCATACTCACATTTTAGTATGGCTCTTCATACATTTTCTCCCTTCTTCCCCTCGCTCCTCGACAAGCTTTTGCTTAGACATNCCCGAGTATTGAGTAAGTATCTGGCTCTTTTCGCCCAGTAGAGTAATACTCACACTTTAGTACAGCTTTTCATACTCTACTAAGAATACTGTGGTGTCTAGTACAGCTCTTCGTACCAGCTAAACCTTTTGTAAGTACGGCTCTTCAATACTCTACTAAACATTTTTTGAGTCTTTTCATACTCTTTTCATACTCACATTTTAGTATGGCTCTTCATACATTTTCTCCCTTCTTCCCCTCGCTCCTCGACAAGCTTTTGCTTAGACATGGGTTGTAGTGAAGGGGGGGGTCTTTCTGGCGAGCAGGGCTAGACTCACCCTCAAGGGATGACCGAAACCTTCTTGCTGCTGCGCATATCCGCCGCGAGGCATGCGCGTGGTGGTGTAGTTGGGTCG